GTGGGGATGCAGATGGTGCAGCCACTCTGGAAGACAGTTTGGCAGTTTCTTACAAAACTAGACATTCTCTTACATACTCTAGCAGTTTTACTTGTTTTGGTATTTACCCAAAGGAGTCGAAAACTTATGTTCACTCACAAACCTTCCACACAAGTACATATAGCAGCTTTATTCATAATTGCCAAAACTTGGAAGCAACCTGTAGGTGGGTGGATAAATAAAGTGTGGTCCATCCAGACAATGGAATATTATTCAGCACTAAAAAGAAATGAGCTATCAAGCCATGAAAAGGCATGGAGAATCTTTAATACATATTGCTAAGTGAAAGAAACCAGTCGGAAAAGAGCTACATATTGTATGATTTCAACTATATGACATTCTGGAAAAGGCAGAACTGTGGTGACAGTAAAAAAATGAATAGTTTCCAGGGGTTGTGGGGAGAGGGGATGAATAGGCGGAGCACAGAGGGTCTGTATGATACTATATCGCTAGTACATGTCATTAAATACTTGTCCAAACCCACAGAATGCACAACATGAAGAGTAGACCTAACTATGGGTTTTGGGGGGTTATGATGTGTCAATGTAGGTTCATCCTTGGTAAAAAGTACATCGTCCTGGTGAAAGGTACTGATAATAAAGGAGGTTGTGCCTGTGTGAGGACAGGGGGTGTAATGGAACTCTCTGCACCTTCCTTCCAAATTTTGTTTGAACCAAAAACTGCTCTAAACACAAAGCCTTTAAAAAGGGGGGGGAGGGGCTTGGGTCAGCACATAGAGGCAGCCCGTGTGACCACTTCTACCAGATCTGAGGCACAGAAAGGGGCTCACTTTCTTTACTTAATTCTCACAAAATCCCACCAGGTGGATAGCCTTGCCCTTGCATAAGAAGATGAGGGCACTTTAGTTTTATAACTAACCTCTATTGAGTGGCCACTGCATGGAAGGCACAAAAAGCAGGGTCAGCTTCCAGGGGGCACACAGAGGTAAAAGGGGTGTGATGTGGCCCTGGAAGGGTGCCCCCGATGCCACCCACGGCAGCCACCTGGTGACCGTGAGGCTGAACCTCACTGACACCATGTTGAGTGAAGAATCCAGATGCAGAATAGCATGAACTGGAGCTTCCATTATGCAGAGCGTGGAAGAAACCAAAGGAATCGATGGTGACAGACGTCAGAACTGTACACGGCGTACTCGAAACTCGTGTGAAATTTACCAAGTGTGTCCCTAGACGTGTGGGTTTTCCTGGAAGATATACTTTAAAAGAAGAACATACATAACTACTGTCTGGCTCAGGGGTTGTCCACCTGGGGCAGGCAGAGCCCTGCAGGACCTGGCCCCTGGTCTGGAAACCTCAGGCCAGGGACAAGAGCCTCAGAGACCCCGTAGGTCCAGGAGGAAGGGTGTCTCTGGGTGGAAGGGTTCAGGGTGCCTGGGCATTTGCACTCAAGGGGTCTTGGGTGAGCTGAGCCTGTCTCCCCTTTAGAGGAGATGCCACTGCTGCCATGAACTGCCAGGCGTGGGTCAGGCCAGGGTGCACTGCTGTCCCTCTCACTGTGTCCATTTCTCTTTCCTCATCTGCCCTCACCTGCCCGCACCCCCAATTAACTTCACCTGAGACACCCTCACACTGAGGACTGAGAGGACTGAGGCAGGGACGGAGAGGAACGGAGACAGTGTCCCAACCCACAACTGTGCTGAGGAGAGGAGACTCAGGACGAGAGCGAGCGTTGGGATCAGGGTGACTCCAATGGGGACATAGGCGGAGTCTCTGTGATGCCGAGCAAAGAATATTAATAACAGCCATTTATTCAGCATCTACCGTAGTCTCAGCACTAATTAGCCACTCATCACAGCCTTAGGAGGTAGATATTATCGTTACCCCCATTTTACAGATAGGAAAACTGAGGCTTAGAGGGGTGAAGTGGTTTCCCCAAGATCTTCCAGCTGGTACGTAACAAAGTAAGGATTTAATGCAGGCCAGCCTGACCCCAAAGCCCTTGCTTTCCCCTCCACCTTCCCAGGTGAGACGTGGGAAGTCCTGGGGGCCCCACCGTGCCCAAGGCTGACTCTAGAGGTGTGCTCCTGCCTGAGTCAGCCCTGGCTCAAGAACTGAGTAGCAGGCAGGGGAACCCATCAGGGTCTGCCCATGGACCTCATCCTCCCAAGCACACCTCGCTGTCTGGGCTGGGACATGAGGGGCATTTACTTTGACCCCCTTCAATGGTTCCTTCATTCTTACTTGGGCCCCGGGGAGCAAAGCAGAGCCCTGCTTGGTCTGCTGAGCCAGCCTGGTGGGAGGCAGGGGACTGAGCAGAACCTTGTACCACGCTGTGCCCTCGGAGCAGCAGGGTGGCTCAGCAGGAGTGTGTCTGGCCAGGCAAATGTGTCCTGTGTCTCAGTAGCTCTGGAATCTGGCCTCCTGCCTCCTGCACTGGGTGGGCTCCATGTGCCTTCCTGAGACAAATAAATGGCAAACAAATGGACTGTGAGTGGATCTGGGGCCTCCAGGCGTCTGGTCCTGAAAGCTTCTGGAATCTTCCGTGCATCTGGCTCTGGTCAAGGGGGCCTTTCTGTTTGGAGTGGGAATGCTCTCGCTGGGCCCCTGGTCTTAACCCCCCTCCACCAGCCCCTCTTTGGAATTTTTTTACAGCTGCTCCTTGAGGTCTGTTAGAGGAAGCGACTGGGAGCTGAGGGGGAAGTAGGAACAGCTGGATCAGGGACCTGGGGCGGGAGAGGTGAGAGCCCAGCCCAAACACTGCACCCACTGCGGGACCCCTGCCCTTCCCCAAGCACATGGTAAGCACCTACTGCGAGTCAGGTTGGGACTCAGGACACAGACTCTGCCCTGGAGGTATGCCCAGTGCAGAGGCCGAATAAGAAGTTGCATCATGGTCCAGGTGTTTTACTGAGTGCTTACTATGTGCCAAGCTCGCTTCATCCACCCTACATAGCACTTCCTCGTGCATGAGCGGTTCAGAACGACCACTACCTCTCCTGTCCCCATTTTACAGATGAGGAAACCAGTGCACAGAGTTTATGTGACTTCAAGGTCACACAGTGGCTGAGTGGTCAGAAACAGAAGTCCAATGCAGACCTGTGCAAGTGGCAGTGAACCACCGGCCACGAGGCAGTGACATCAGCTACGGTGACAACTAATGGTGAGGCCCGAACCCCAGGGATCTGGCCCAATAGGCCTGTAAAGGGCCATGTCTGAGCCTGCTGCTGGGGATTGGAGGTAATGTGAGGGCTCTCACTACACGAATGAGATGACCTAGAGCCTGAAGGTCACACATGGGGAAACTGAGGCAACAGTCAGAAGCTATACACCAGAAAGAGGCAGCGGGAGAGATTTGAAAAGCACGGACCTTAGTGGAGATGAGGAGGAATGGGAGGAAGCTGTAGCATCCTGCCCTCGCTCTACCTGGAAAACCTGGAAGTGCGCAGAACTCGGGCCATTCTCCAATCGGCTCTCTGCTGCCTGCTGGCTGCATGACCTTGGGCAAGTTCCTTTAGCTCCCTGGGCCTCAATTTCCCCAAATACAAAGTGCAAGGTACTCAGAGCGATGCTCAGCACACAGTGAGTGCTTTACATGCAATTAGTAAATTAACAGCCTCACTACCTGTATATCAGGCAAGCTCAAGGATGCATATCCTGCTCAAGGATGTATATCCTTGTTGTTGGGGTGGGGAGAAAGGCATGGGAAGTAGGGGTAAGTGGGAGTGAGCAGGTAAATGCTAAATTCATAGGGGCCCTGTGTGGCATTGGCAGTGGGCCACGAGCCCTGGGCAGCACAGGTAGAAATAAATTACCAACAACAATGCGCATGAGTAACACTGTGTGATGCCCTGGCCTCACGCCTGGGAAAATGCAGGCTGTCGCCCCCACCCCACCCTGCACACCCTATTGTCACCAGGTTGCGGGGCCCCTGCTTGGCTCCCATCTTCCACTGACGCCCTGTTTCTCTCTGGACAGATGGTGCCTGAAGACAAACCATGGGTCACACGGTCTTGTAGGCACCGGGAAGGACACAGCTCCGCCTGTGAGACACACGGAAGGAACCCACAGGGCAGAGAGCTCCCACCAAAGCCCAGAGATGATACCTGTTGGGGTGGGAAGGAATAGGCAGGAGGCCACGAAGGCTGAGAAGAGAAGTACCCAGGGAGGCAGCCTCGGGGCCCACCAGGCCTGGGGATTCCAGGCTAAGTCACTGGCAGGCTGTGGGAGGCTGCATCTAGGCGATGACAATGATCTCAGTGTGCCGTCCCGGGATCACTATGGTGGCTCTGAGAAGCAGACAGTAGATAGAGGGTGGGACCCCCAGGAGGCTGTCGCAGAGGCCACATGGGGATCAGGGCTGGACTGGGCAGAACAGGACCCATGGGAGACCCCTCACCTGTGCTATGAATGTCCAGCAGGGGTGAAGGCAGACGCCCGGACTCAGCAGGGATAACAGTGCCAGATAGGGGGAGATGGCTCCAGCCCAAAGGCCTGGCGTAGGAGCAGGGAGAGGCGGCTCCTGTGAATTAGTAGCCTCGGCTCCATTTGTAGTGGAGATAATGACCGAACTCGAGCCGCGCTGAGTTCACTTGTGAACGCCTATCATTTCCAGATCGGGACTGAAAGAAAGCAGTCGGGGGAGAGAGTGAAGGATGACAAATGAAAACCAGAAGTGGGAGCAGTGGAAGAAATGAGAGGGAGTTCATTTTTCCCACCGGGAGAGCTTTCAAGGCCCCCCAGCCGCCCACGGGGTAACTGTATCTCCGCCTCCTCCCTGCGCCCTCCCAGATTCCCCCTCCCCACCTTTGTGAAGTACCCCCCAGGATGCCCCGACTCCCTCTGTGAGACTCCGCAGCCCCAGCCGCAGCCTGAAATCATAGCCCTGTAACTTTCCCTTTAAGGCTGTCAGAGACGAGAGGCCGGCCAAGCCGGGGCTGGAGGTGGGGACAGAGGGAAGAAAGAAAAAAGAGAGAGAGGCAGGAAAAGTTTTTTTCAGAAGAAAATGCAGGGTTTGTCCTTACCCCTGACGTCAGATCTTGCTTTAATAAAACCCCCCAAGGGCTGTGGGAAGAGCCAGAGCCGGTGCTCCTGATGGGCGGGCCAGTCTCTGCCCAGCTCCCCCGAGAGGTGGAGGATCTTCTGGGCTGCTCGTCGATGCCTTTGCCACTGACTTCCAGGCATGAGGTGGTTCCTGCCCTGGACGCTGGCAGTAGTGACCGCAGCAGCCGTGGGCAGCGCCCTGGCCACGGTGAGTCCTGCTGGAGGGGCTCAGACAGGGGGCCAGCAGGATGAGGGGGGACTGGAAGCGGTACAGGGGCGAGCCCAGGGTGAGAAGGAGGGCTGGGTGGGGTCAGCAGGTTCTGGCAGGGCGAGGAGGAAGGGGCAACACCTGTAGAAACAAAACTAAGAGGTCCTCCATGCCTTTCCTACCTGAAACCAAGCTGAAAGGAAGGGGCCCTGGAGCTGGGGGCCTGGACTCCAGGCTCAGCTTTGCCAAGACTGGCTGTGTGACCTTGGGCTAGTCCCTCACCTTCTCTGAGCAGCATAAAGTGAGCACATTGTTAGAAGGCTTCTTGAGTCTTTGGGTTTGGAAAACATGAGTCTCCAAGGGTTGGATATGCTACAGGAAGGGGTCATGGAAAATGCCAAGAAAATCTGGAAAGGAAAATGCCAGCTTTCAACAAAAGAGCCTCTCTTGAGTAACGGCACTTGGGACGCTTTCTAACCCCAACTGCAACGGCCTCCGGCTTGCACAGACCTTTACCACGTAGGAAGCGCGCACGTTCGGGCGCTGCGTACCAAGCCCGCTGTTCCCGGGGAACCCTGGGGGTTCTCTGTCTCCCGCCTCCATCCCTGGGCACACCGAGGGGGGAGGAAAGTCTGCACCTCCAAGAAGCCAGGAGCAAGACACGTGGCAGCACAGAGCCAGCCCGCTGGGGCTGGGCGTGGAGGCGGGCAGGAGGGGCAAGGGGACAGCTTCTGAATCCAGGGTCCCTCAGCCTGGCCAGGGCCAGTGGGAGAGCCAGAGGGAGGCGTCGCAAGAGAGGTTTCAGCCCTGCCCACACTGACAGCTTCCTTTGGGATCAATGTGCCCCACTCATGGGTGAGGAAACTGAGGCTCAGTAGGCAAGTAGCTCGCCCTTGGGCTCCACCGGTTCTCACAGAACGGGATCTGAGGCTGAGATGACGGCCCGCTAGAGGCCGGTGCCTCATGGGAGCTGGGCGACCGGTGCTCCCCAGCGTGTGGAGCATGGAGTGAGGGCAGGGAGTGTCCGTCTGATTCCTGGTTAAATCCTCCGTACCTTGCACGGTGCCTGCCTGTCCTACAAAAGACATTAACTCCATTTTTACAAATGAAGTAATGGATGCAGAGCTCGTAAGGGACTTGCCCAGGGTCCCACAATCAATCAGTGGCCAGGGCTCAAACTTAGATCTTTTTCTGCCAAATCCCGCGCTTTCTTCCAGAGCTTTCCAAGTTTCAGGGAAACTGAGCATTTCCTGCAGACCAGAAAGAGCCAAACCAGCCCTAATTGCAGGGCTGCTCAGGCTGGGAGGACAGGGGCTGGATGGAGAAGAGGTGAGAGGTTCGGATAGGAGGCCCGAGTGAGGAGGAGGGGCCGCGGCTGCCTGTGGGCTCAAGGACACTGGAGCCCCAGGAGCCTCCGCAGAGCCACTGCTGCTGGAGAAGAGGGGGCACTGAGCCGTGGGCTCAGAGAAGGGACACACACAGGACCCAAGAGTCCAGCTGGTCCGAGACTCAGAATGGAAGGAAGGCTCCTGGGAGGAGGTGAGGTATCTCTCCTCTGTGCAGCCCCTGCCTGGCGGCCTCCTCTGGAAACCCAGCAGGACCCAGTCCCCACTTGTTCGGGACTCAGGAGCTCCCGCTGGAGTCCTCAGGGCATCCTCGCTCCCCCCCCCCCC